AGCGAGTTTGTTTTGGAAATCGAGTCTCTTTGGCTTCCTTCCGAAAACCAGATTTCCTTTACACGCACAGCGTAGCAGTAATTAGCTAACTTACATCTTTCCTTCTCCTCCAACTTTTAGATAGATAGAGAGAGAGAGAGAGAGAGAGAGAGAGAGAGAGAGAGAGAGCTTCTCATAAAACTTAGATTTCTTTCTTCTTGAAACCTCTGTTGCAAACAATGGAAAATCTAGGAGGAAATCAAAGATGGAGATAAAGATTGGTCGTTGTTGAATTGTTCTTCCATGTTTTATTTATTTAAATCGATTTAAGTCTGGGCAGAGTTTCCGCTTTCCAGATTGTCGGTGAAACAGATCGTTTCGAAAAGGACAATTTAGCGAGTACTTAGTTTCAATATTTATGATTTAAGAGTTTGCATCTTTTTCTTCTTCTTCTTCTTCTTCTTCTTCTTCTTCTTCTTTTGAAGAGAAAAGGATTCTCCCTTTGAAAGTTGTTGAAAGCGACATCGAGGGCGCATGGAAACGGAGAGTAAACAGAAGTAGACGATTCACAACAAATACCTACACTACATGCCCTTACTTCGTCGTAGAATCGTTTCCAATTGCCTACGAAAATTAATGTTACCTTTCTCGCATTAAACGGAAACAATCGAATTCTTATCGCATATCCTCATTAAAAAACTCGACGAAATTTGATTAATTCCAATCTTTACAAATATCGCATTTCACGAATGCTCGACAAAAAGAAGGAAAAAAAAAAAAATCATGAGCGAAGATAAACAGGGAAAATACATATTCGACGTTTATTAAACGAAAGATAATAGGGAGAATCGATGACTAAAAGAGGAGCATGTAGTGTAAAAAGTTGGACGAGCGGGATGGGATATTCGGTTGGGCAAGCCGCGTTGTGCCGCGTGGGCTGGAACATATGTAGGGTATATATGGGTGTATACCCGCTTTTTAAAACGGCGATACACGATAGGCCGGGCCGTTGGCCGACCGCAACAACATTTGCAAAGTCGGCAGAGATCATTGTTTCCCCGCAACGCGTTTTTATCCGCCCGATGCCCGCGCATCGGTTAACGTTAATTTCCACTTTCTGACTTCCCCCACCTTTTTCCCTTCGCGCCTCGTTGCGCGCGTTTCCACCAACGGTTTTTTCCCCCCCTACTGTTTTTCAACGTGCGCGCGGATCAGGGACGAGATGTTTCGTGCGTGGAACCGACCTGTTTTGAGGGAAAAAAAAAAAAAAAGAAAAAAAAAAAGAAAAAAAGGAACTGGTTCTGAATTTTTAAATTATACCACACCCAGAGGTGGTGGTTTCCTTCCGTGAAACGCGATTCTTACCGTGTTTTTTTTTTAAGGGGGGAGAGGAAGGAAGTGGTTTAACGCGCTTCGCAGAATTTTTGAGTGAACAAGTTTGAGCAAAATGATCGACGTTACTGGAAATATTTAAAGTATTTAAGATCATCGTTGGGTAACTAATGAATATGCATTACAGTATGTAAAGTTTGTGATAATAGGGACGATATTTCTGCATACTAATTTTTTTTTCTTCTGCAAACGTGTTCCATGAATAAAATGTAAGTTCAAAAATTGAAATATGAATTAAAAATATGGATATTTATTTTTCTTCACTTTGTACTTGAACGAAGTAAAAATAAGAAGTTTTTAACATTGTATTGATACAGTTTTCTTCATAAGTTGCAAAGATTATATAATTTCTTCTTTTGTAAGGTTTTTTTTTTAAATAGAATATTCATCTCTACTTTACATTTGAATGAAGTGAAAATAAGAATTTATATCTATTTTTTTGATACAGTTTTCTTTATATAATCTGCATTTATTTAGATTTCTTTTTGAATAGAATATTCAATTATATTAAGATACAATTCAAGAATTGAAATACGAATTAAAAATATGGATATTTACTCTTCTCCACTTTTTGAATAGAAATAGAAAATAAAAAGTTTATAACGTTATATTTATATCTGTTTCTTTGATACAGTTTTCTTTATAAGTTGTAGGAATATATGTATAATTTATATAGGAAAAACATCGGATGAGAAAGTTCCAATTAGCGAATGGATAGGGAGAAAATTACTTTCCCGAGAATTAACGAGACGATAAAGACCTAGCGTAATGAGCAGATAATCAACAGCCTCGGTATACACTGGGCCAGGCGCAACAGAGAGATTCTAATTAACGAAAGATGAACGTGACCATTTTAACCTGAACAAATTGCGCGCGTGGTCAAACCCAATAAACAGTATTATGCACCTATTAAAAAGAATCGGATCGTAATTTAAATACTCGGTGTAATATAAACGTACAAAGTGATCATCGTGATTATTAAAAATGTTCATCGTTAACAGAGTTGAAAATTAATGATTTCAAAATTTATAGAGGAAAAATAAATCATCTTTAAGCATTTTTAATCAAGACTTCGATAAAATTTTAAATAAGAAAAATTCCGTATGGTATCCTGAAATCGCAAAATTAAAAATTAATTTTTAAAAAATTTAAAAATCGAAAAAGAAAAAAAAATCTTTGCTTTTTTTTGACGAAGGAAATTTTGTGGACGAACGGCTCTCTGTATATAATGTGAATAATCTCTTCCTCTGCAATAAGTTTTTAAAGTTACAAAGTTACAGCTTCTATTTGATGACGAGCTCAATGGATAAGAAGGAAACCCCTCCTTATCGCGTAAGCGTTGGATATATAAATTGTGAATCGGCTTACCGTGCAACAGTATCGAGAAGAAGAAAATGCAGATGATTTTGGCCAGAATCTTGGCACACCAGCCACTCCCGTTGCCGCCATACCATAAATCCATTCGTAGCGTCTTCACGGTCCATCGTTTCCGGTACATTTCGCGATACCAGCCTCAAAGTCGTGCCAGCTCGAGTAGAGCGATGAATCTTTTCTGCCAGCAACAAAACAAAAATATACTTGCCGCGTTTAACTCCATTGTAGAAATTGTGAACAAAAGTCACTCAAAGAATAGTTTTCGACAATATCTATTTTCGAATAGATTTCAACGCTTACGAATTGTTTCGAAAAATAAATTATTTTTCAAAGTATGAAAAATTATGGAGAAAAACACAAATACGCGAATATCCTTTTGACAATTATTTTATAGAGATCGCTTCGTCGATTTTAATTATCGTTTATTCGTCGAACAATGCCCTCGAATTATTTTACAAAGCGAGTGGAAATTTGTCGAAAGATTAAAGATTTTGCGAAAAAAAAAATATAAAGCGTGTAAATACATAAATTTCGTTAAAAAATAAAATTTTGATTTTATTCGTTTATAATTGATTAATCTTATATCTTTGATTAACTATTCATGATGATGATGTCCAATTTGCCTATTTGCAGATGCCAAATATCATTACGCAACACAATCGAACAAGCATTTGCGTAATAGGAATCGTATAGATTACAATATGTACGATAATAATATTTGTTATATAATTTGTAGATTTTGGGCAGGGAACTGTAGGCACAAAAGCGATGCGATGGCAATTTCAGAATGTTTACAATTTCGATTATCTAGTCGAATTTATAATCATTGTGTATTACGTCAATAATCGAGCTTATATTATAAGCAAATTGACAATCATTTCCACATTGGAAAAGATGATATAGATATCGAATAATTATATTCTTTACTTAAATTTTAAACGACATTAGTTTTAAAAAAAAATTTACACGATGATTATCGAAAATTTATTTCTTCAATAATTTACGACGAATGAATTTTTTAATAAAATATTTGTTTTTTTTTCTTGTTTCGACATCAAAATCGAACTCGAGATCCTGCACGATATCATGATTCCGAATTTCGATCACTTGATCGTAGGTTTATAATTGGCAGGATTAATTGCGTGCAGGTGCATTGCGACGCTTGATGTACTAATTTTGCACGTCGTCGAATGCGTGGATTTCGCTTCAATTTCAGGCCTTCCTGGAATCGAATTCGTTCGTCAAATAATCTATATAAATTCCAAATTTATTACGCTTATTGACTCGATTCTTCTCTTTGATGAGAACTTTGATGACCGTTGCACGCGTCACTTTTGAAAATGAAATTTGCACAGACAAAGATAAATACGAATTTTGTTTGAATCGAAAATTTGAATTCTATATAGACGGAATTAATAATTTCATCCAAATAAATTCAAATTTTATTACTTTCTTTTTTTTGAAAATTTTTTTGTTAAATTCTTTTTCTGAATAAAAGAGCGAATAAACAAGTAAATTGAATTTTCATTGTATATAGAGATGATTTTAAAATTTTCCTGGCTGATCGAAAGAGATTTTAATTATCAGCAACTGATATATTCTAGTCAAGCAGGGCCAGTAATTTTCGTGAAAAAATTTAATGGAAATTATGCAAACTAATGCAAATATAATGAAAATACATCAATGTTGCATGGTTGGATCAACGAACTATAGTAAGCTGAGCAATATACTCATTATACAAAGTGATTCAGAAATACACATCAATATTTCGAGAATTTACATATTATTATTACTAGTTATTAATAATATACATACATAATAACTAAAGTGCAAAGCATTGGCACGTATTTTTGAATCCAATAATATATATATCGCTTCAAACGCATAATAAAAAACGTACCCTAGTCGTCGTGTCACCAGTTGTCGACTCGCTGTTACCGATAAAAGGTGTCTATTGCATTCGTGTCGAAGCCACGCGTTCCTTTCTTCTCCGCTGCATTTCCCTCGTTTTTTTCCAACCCGTCTCGTTGAAAATTGACGCCGAGAAATTCATTCTCGCACTTCACCGAGCATCCACCGTCTCCGAATAAGCACGCTCCATCTCGTATCTTCAATCAACGTTATATTCGGCCGACATATCTTTTCTTCTTCAACGGAACACTCAACCAATCACGAAGCGCGCTATTTAACGTTAAAATCCGTCATGGAAAACCAGGCACTGAAATGGATCAACGAAAAGACGTTCGCAGCTAGTATAATAAATTAAAATCAACACCACTACTAGAACAATAAATCTGCCACGTGAATATCGGTAACGCGATTGAATTTTTTAAAATAATCTCACGTTAAAATCTTAATCTAATAAGTTTTTGTCTCGTAAATATTTAACACACTTTTTAGATTATAGTATTTTTCACGAATCCTTCAACGAATCGTCGCACTACTTTTAATGTATCATCATATCGAGAAAATTACGCGCAATACGAAGCAACAAAGCATGATTAATCAATTGTAGAATCACATACAGAAATGATCGATAGTTACACAATAATTCTTTATTTTCACATAACCTAACTTTTTCGAAATCCGTTCTAAATGAAGAATCGACTCCTCGAAGCACTTCCTTTCATCTAAACACTTTTTCTTCGACTCTTTTCACGTCGGATAACTTTTACACGAATCGAGACATTCCTTGTGAATCGAATTTCCACGTGACAGGCTTGTGCATCTTGTGCCGAGATGCGGTAACGCGAACATTCGCCTCGCGCAATCACGAGTCTACCCGGTGATGCTTCTCCTTAAGTGCCACTCATTCGTCATTGGACACGCACACTCCGTTCCTCGTGAGCCACGTTTCATCGCGTGTGTGTACACGCATGGGCAATACCGCGAGAGCCACCGGTGGTGGAGCGACTGAAACGAAATAGTCGCGCCACGTCGAGACGACAGAGAGGAGAATAGAGATGGGCATGGTGGTATATGAAGTAAGGAAGGAAGGAAGGAAGGAAGGAAGGGAGAGAGAGAGAGAAAGAGAGAGAATACAGAGGTTAAGTAGTGGTCAGAGAGGGGAAGAAGAAAGTCGTAAGATGGATAAGTGGGCGATCGAAAAGAGCAAGTAGGAGTGAATGGTGTCCGAGAAAGAGTCGAGAGAGAAAAAAAAGAGGAAGAAGAGGAAAAAGAGTGGCGCGTAAAGAGATCTGTGAGAGCGAAATGCTGCCGTGGTGAAGACCGCGATCCAACTGCGCCCGCGCTTAGCCAGATATCAGCCCCCAACCACCGGCGTCGACTCTCTCCCCTCCGCCTCTGCCCGCTTCACTTTGCTCTACACTGGCGACCACGTTGCCAGTGGTGGCTAACGCCAGTCGATAGCGTGTTGCTATTATTATTGCGATGATCGACGCCTTGACTATTATTACCGTCGTATCCGTTGCCTGTTAAATTCGATAGTGCGATTCCTTGTTACGATCGAACTACTGTTCTGTGCCGCCATATGATAGTCCGTTATGACTCGAATTGACCGAGATTCGACGGTCGAATATTCCTTTTCACCGATATTTGCACTCTACGTGACAATATCCGATGCCTTCTCGCTATTATTGCTATAGTATCGCTGGAAATTGGAAATGTAGGACGTTCGAAATAGAGGACATTCCTTGTTCGAATGGATAGAGAATCGAGATTCTCTTAACTCCTATTTGCTTATTGCGAGTCAATTGGAGAATCGAGGAGAGAATGTTTCAATGATATGTAAAAGTTTGTTTGGAACATAAAGCTAAAATTAACCTCTTGGACGAAGAGATACATAACAAAGAACTTTCTTTCTTGTACTTTTAAGAATTCTAATTCAAGATATACGTATGTGTGTGTATTTATATATATATATATATATATATATATATATATATATAATGATGTTT